TCCAATCATATCATCTATGAGTAAAGCAATAACTTCAGCTGGGGGATCCACAAGGATCAGAACATGTTCAGTTTGGGCTACACCCAGATTAGCTAACATATCAGCTACTTTGTTTCCCTCTTTGAATGTGTGGACAAAGGAGCAGTTGCACCTCTGCAGGAGGAACTTAGCATCCTCAATGAGAGCCTTAAAGGGTGAATTTGGGTTTGGACCATGCTGAATTTGTTGAATGGCCTGTTCAGAATCCGTTTCTATCTTTACATTTGTGGTTCCTTTCTAGAACAGAATTGTTAGACCTCTGTATATTGCCAGATTTCTACTTCCATGCTTGTACAGTGCCCCAGTTTTCCATAATAGCCCCATAGCCAAATGCCTGTTTCATCTCGCAAAAGTCCCACGTATCTTGTCTGGCCTGGGTCTCCTTTTGAGCAACCATCCGTATTGAGTTTAAGTTTACCTGCAGGAGGAAATCACCATTTAATTAATCTAGGTACAGAAGAATGAGGATGGAGAGGGGATTGAAAAGCCTCTTCAATTTCATGGACATAGTCACAAACGGACTTAAGACTGTTTTGGGTGGGGTTTGAGAAATTATCAAAAACCAGTCTATTACGGTCTTTCCAGATCTACCAAAGGGTAACAATAAAAATAAGAGACCATTTAGACCCATAAAGAAGTGTTTTGCTGTTTATATTGCAGGTCACCCAATCAAATAGAGGCTGATCAGTCCCTTCCTCCCAGCAAAAGTTATGCTGGATGTGGATCCAAATATTCTTGGAGCAAACACAGTCTCTAAGGAGATGCTGCAAATTTTCACTAGGCTGCCCACATCTAGGACAAAGATCTGAAGAAGCCATATTTCTCACAAGGCGTAAATGGTTGGTCAACAGTCTCCCTTTTAGGATAAGCCAGAGAAAGTATTTCAATTTTTGAGGAGTTTTGATTTTCCAAATCCATTTCCAATCCCTGTCATCCACAACAGAGTTAGTAATAATGTTAAAAGCAGAGCCAGTATTGAAATTACCACAGGTAGATCCAATCCAGGCAGGAGCATCAGTAAAGGTAACAAACCTAGGTCTGTATATTTTGAGAATTTCATCCAAATCCTGTTGAGTGACAAGGATTTTAAGTTTCTCAGTATCCCAATTTCCCTCATCATCTAAGATTGAGCTAACTTTATCTAGATCATTGGTTTAGTAGGTGTTATTAGTTTGAGATAAAGGTTGAGTACCACACCACCAATCATTCCAAAGGGAAATGTCCTCCCCATTGCCAACAACCCATTTAACTCTGTTTCTGAGGATATCCCTATTTTTGCAAATGCATCGCCAAATGTAAGAGGCTTGCTTGTTCTGAGGCCAAGTATAAAGACTATGATGCTTCAAGTATTTGAAATGAAGAATTTTGCACCAAAGCTTATTTTTGTCACACAGGATTTTCCACCCAAGTTTGGTAAGAAGAGCAGCATTATGGTCTCTAACCTTGCGAATGCCTAGGCCTCCCTCAGCTTTGCTTTTGCACACACTATCCCAGTTAACAAGGTGGACTTTCTTGTGATTCTCAGAGTCACCCCAAAGGAAATTTCTATTGAGTTTATCTATCTTATCACAGAGTTTTCTAGGAAGCTCCATAGTTTGCATGTTATATGAGGGAATAGCAAAGGTAACAGATTGGATAAGTGTTATTCTCCCGGCCATGGTAAGGTTTTTGGCTTTCCAACTTGAGAGTTTAGCTTTCATTTTCTCAAGGATTTCATTGAAAATGCTCTTTGTAACTCTTTTATGAAGTAAGGGTGAGCCTAGATATTTACCAAGTTCCTGGGTTAGGGGAATGCCACTAGAGGAGCTGATGGATTTGGCTAAAAGTCTAGGGATATTAGGGGAAACAAAAATTTTAGACTTAGCATAGTTGATTTTCTGGCCAAACACCTCACAAAATTCACAAAGGACATCTATTATGGTTTCACAATTCATTTGGTCAGCTTAAGCAAAGAGGATGAGGTCATCAGCAAAGAACAAATGGAAAACAGAAGGGCTATTTCTAGATGCCTTGATGCCTTTCCAAGAGCCCTTCTGAACTTTATAGTTGATCATATTGGATAACTTTTCCATACAAAGCACAAAAAGGTAGGGAGAAAGGGGATCACCTTGCCTAAGCCCTTTCCCATTCTGGACACCCTTAATAATTTCACCATTCCACAAGATAGAAGAGTGTTGGTTAGAAACACAACTCATGATTAAATCAATCCAATTATCATTAAGTTTAAGTTCAAGAAGAGTAGCTTTAATGAAATCCCAAGACAGCCAATCATAAGCTTTCTCCAAGTCAATCTTAAATATCATGCCACCTTGTGTTCCTTTCTTATTTCTCAAAGAATGCAGGATTTCTTGTGTGATGATAATGTTATCAGTGGTGTTCCTTCCAGGTATGAAACTGCTTTGGTTAGGGCTTACCAGATTGTCAAGGAGGGCTCTAATATGACCAACTATAAGCTTAGTAATGATTTTATAAGAAACATTGCATAAGCTAATGGGTCTAAATTGCCTAATGTTTTCAGGATTATCAACCTTAGGTATAAGCACAATAAGAGTTTCATTAATGACATCAGGGATTATTTTATTTTGAAAACAAATTTTCACAAAGTCACACACAGAATGTTGAACAATATTCCAATATTTTTGGTAGAAAATGGCTTGAATTCCATCTCTGCCTGGTGCTTTGAAAGCACCAATATCTTTCACAGCTTTCAGAATCTCAAAATTAGAGAAAGGTTTAGACAGACCATCATTGTCCTCTTGAGTGAAGTAGGTAGGGGTTAAGTTATTCCAGTGATCCAGATTGATTACAGCTTCACCTCTGAAGAGGTGTTGAAAATACTCAAGAATACTGGCCTTAATACTAACAGAATCAATAATCCAATTACCAGAAGCATCTTTAAGAGCATTGATTTTAATTTTTCTCCTCTTGGTAATAGTGGAAACATGGAAAAATTTAGAATTTCTAACGCCAAGAGTAATGTGTTTAGATCTAGATTTTTGGAACCATAAAACTTCTTCTTGAAACAAACAAGTATTGTATTGATAAATAAGGTCCTTTTCAAGAGACTGAAGATTATGAGAGAAGTAATTAGCTAAGGATCTTTGTATGCCTTTTATCCTAGCAAGGATGGGTCTTTTCCTTTTAAAGATATTACCAAAAACCTCTTTGTTCCACTCCTTAACTCGACAGGTGAATTCAGCAATGGAATCAATGAGATTATGGTTCATATCAGACCAGGAGGATTTAATAACATCAATGAGACCAGGATGTGTGATCCAAGTAACTTCAAATCTAAAAGACCTATTGAGAGGATTGAGGGTAAGCATACCTTAGGTGTAGACTAAAAGAGGTGAATGGTCTGAATAAGTCCTAGGAAGGACTCTCACAATGGCTTCCGGGAACATGGTTCGCCATTCTGAGTTGTTCAGAGCCCTATCCAGTCTTTCCATTGTGTTGGCAATTCCCTGTCTGTTATTAGTCCATGTCATTTTTGGTCCAGAGCTCCCTAAATCAATCAATTTGCAATTGTTGACCCTATCCAAAAACTTTTGATTTCTAGCAACATTATGTCTTGGATTGAAACTTCTTCTTTCACCTTGGTTAGCCTAATCATTGAAATCGTCAGCGACCAACCATGGTTTATTCATGTTGCCAGCCACTGCCTCCAGATCATCCCATAGATGCTCTCTCATAACAGGATTTGGGCTACCATAAACTACTGCTAAGACCCATTCATCATAATCTTCTTTGTGGATTGTGGCATGAATAGCCTGGGAATTGACTGAAGAAGCTCGCACATTAACATGGATTGTGTCCCAAACAATCCATATTCCTCCCACACGGCCAATTGGGTCGACAATTATCAAAGCTGTGAAGCCTAATCTATTAACGAAATTCCTCATTTTGCTAAAAGGCACCTTGGTTTCCATAAGAATTAAAATTCAGGTTTGTGGGCACGAACTATTTATGTTAGGTTACGTTTGAAGTTGTTATTGCCGGCTCCTCGGTAATTCCAGAATAATAGTCATAATAAATCCATGGATGGGTAAATAAGGGGTGAGTTGGTTACCATATCTTTAACAATGCTGCGGATCCTCCGTCGATCGGCCTTCTCTGATCTCATGGAGGCCATTTGAATCGAATGAAATGGCTTGAGACTGTTGCCCTCCTAATTTAGCTCGAGTGTCATGCGTATTTGTTCTATCCACCAGACGAAAGCGACTAGGTGAGCATCTTCTCTCTCTAGTTCTAACAACAAAGCCACCGTGCTGGTCTGATTCCGGTGTTTCTCCACCTCGATTATCTGGTCGCCTGAGCTCTGTGTGTCTTTTGGCTCCACTGCTGTCTTCTCCTGGATCTGGTGGTTCTCGTTCTGTATTCAAAGAGTCTATAGATTTATGGGCAGGGTTGATGGCTGTTAATGGGCTGGCATAAGTAGATGATGTTGGAGTAGCTTCTACCATGGTTAAGTCAATAGCTCTTAGTGGAGTTTCCAAAGTAGGAATCTTGTTAGAGGACGACAGAATCGATTGCGTGCATCAGGTTTGGAAGAGACCATAGCTTGGTCACAGACTGGTGACTCTGTCCTAGAATTTGTGGCTAGATATGATGTGCTCACCTCCATTGTCTTCTTATTTGGCTGTTTTAGAGTTTAGGAATCTGGTTCTTTAGGTTTGGAGATGGAGGAACCCGATTTTACCTTTGTCCTTAGGGTTTTTCGTTGTGTTGGTGTTGACTACAATACTGGGCTCACCTTGGCCTTTTTCAAATTCTGACATGTAGGTCTTCTTGCCCCTGGTAACTTTGTCTTAGCCATCTGGGCTCTCCTCTAAATATTTGAATTTATTAGCATTTGGTGTTGGGCCATGTATTGTTTGGGCATGTCTGGATTGGGTTGGTCGTCTACCTCTTTTGGTAGCTAACATCCGTGGACCGAATGTGTCTTCTTCCCTTTGCTCTCGTTACAGGTTTCCGTTAGCCTCCGTCATTTGATTGTCAGGCATTACATTATCGGTAACGGCTATATTCTTCGCCGCTGGTAAGATGGTAGGGCTGTTGAACAGAATGAAAACAAAATGAACTTTGGTTTCAAAGGTTGACTAAGATCTTCCACAATGAAAACAAAAAGAGTGTAAGGACTCATACTCTATGTTATAGTATCGATCTTCCAAAATGAACTTTGATTTCAGAGGTTGACTAACATCCATTTCAACACAAATTCTTGCAAATTTTCCCCTTGTCACCATTGTCGTATTCCAATCAATCTTTAGAGGTTTATCAATAGTTTTGGCTATGGCAAATAAGACTGTTTCCTGATAATACTCTATCGGAAGCTCAGGAAACCGAACCCAAATAACGGTTATGGTTTCAAAAGCTTCCGAAGGTTTGAAATTTGGTTCCCACCTTCTTACGGTGAGGTAATGGTCCATGATCACCCATGGCCCTCCCGTGAATACAGTAGTATAATCCGACTTTTCAAAAAATTTAAAGAGGAAGTAATTGCTGCCCAAGTCAATGGCATTAAGTCCCCTTGAAGACCCCAAATATTATTTACACAAGTACATAGCATCTTGTACCCAATGGTCTTACCTAAAAGCCTGATAATAAGGGTATTCTTCCATGGCTTTCTAATCTTCTCCAATAGTTTCTTTGGTAAGGTAACCCGAGGAAAACCCATGTGCTCTGAGGAAGAGTTGTGGATTTTAAATTGTCTTTCTTGCTCATCATCCTCTTCATCCAAAGAGAGAATTTCAACCTTACTGTCAAAAAGATAATCGTTTCTGCTTTTCATGTTCAAGGGTGGGGAAGGAGATCCCATTGTACTAAGGACATGATCAGAGGTTCCCTCCTTCGTTGAATCAAGGACCAGGTTCTCCTCGTTGGTCATAGCTACGTCTTGCGCGGGTTCGACACCTTTAATTTTCTTGGTGCTTCAGTTCAAGTGGTTTTCTTCTTCAGTTGTCTTTACAGGGTTCAGAGTAACTTCTTCTTCAGAGGTCGTCATAATCCGCTACTTCAGATATGCCATATGTCATTTTAACATAGAGAGAAAAATAATTTTAATTTTTTTTTAAAAAAAAATTCAATCAAATAAATTTTTTAAAAAAAAAATTCTCAAAAATTGTTTATCAAGAGACAAACCAAATGTATTTTGTGACAAATGTTACCTAATATTATGACAGAGTTATGATGGTAAAACACATGCTAAAAATATAATTTTGATAATTTCTAAAAACTGAGTTATTTAAAAAAAAATATTCAAAAATAGTTTGCCAAACAAAATTTTCTTATTTTATTTACAAAAGAAAAATAGAAAGTAAAAAGACAACCAAACATACCCTTAATTTCCTTTCCTTTTTTTTTCCAGAGAAATTTGAAATATAAACACAAGAAGGCCTTGGTACCTATGGACTCATCAAGGCCCATGTTGTTCATAGTGAAGGGCCCATCTTGCTTAACCTCTAGCATTTTGGGCTTGGCCCGCTCACTACTAGAAAATAAAAATAACATATAAAATGCAAAATTCGGCGAGCAAAAAAGGACAATGTGCGCAATATTATTCGGACGATTTGTGATTAGAAATATAAATCAAATGACTATTGGAGAATTAGTAGATTGTGGTTGGAGTGATTTTGGCAAAGATTAAAAAATGTTTTTAATCATTTATCAAGTATTTATATGATATATAATATTAATTTGCATAATATTATATGTATATATAACATAAATTAATTTTACATAATATTTTTCATATATATAACTGAGAGGGAGATTTGTGCCAAACAGTAAGCCGAGCTACACCAGCGCGGATGTGTGTTGGGCCGTGTAAGGAGAAGCCGTGGTGCATTGTTGGGCCGAGCTGGACCTACACGGAACGTGGTGTTGGGTCGAGATAGACCCACACTGAATGTTGCACCGTGCCAAACCTAACCGAGCTAGATTGAGTGGGTGGGCAGAACTGCCCCAGCACTTAGGTTCTGGGCAGCTGGACCACGTGACGGCCGAGCTATAGACAGCTCGGGCTGCGATTGTTGAAACAGAGATGGTCCATAAGATAGCGATTAGTAGCCGGGGTGCCGAATGATGTGCCCACCTCCAATCGGTTATGATAAACCAGTTAAGATCCAGCTCAGCACGAAACGACCAACGTAGTGCTGGTAGTTCACAAGTATCAGCTCAGTCAAGCATCCCACGTGGACCAATAAAGAGAAGAGAGAAATCCACTGCTGGTATGCATTAATACCGTTTGGCGGTGCAACAAACACCGTTTAGAGGTTTTGGTCTCTACATGTGTAAGAAATATAGAGGGGAGCACAGCCGCCTATCCAGAGAAATACAATAGAGGTAGTGCACCCACAACCTCTGAGGTTACATGGCCAGCCTTGAAAAGGAGGAGCATGCAGACATTAGAGGTAAGCAATTTCGAACTCTTTCTCTCTAAACAAGCTAACTTGGCTGTCAGAGGGGTTTTCTGGCAAACTCACCTGCTGGGTAGCTCACCTTTGCTTTGTTCACAGTGTGACGGAGTTCTAATGGAGTGAGACGAGCTAAGTAGCAAGGAGGTACAGAGCGAGGCGAATATTTCTCTCCCATACAATTGGCATCGTCTGTGGGAATCTCTTTGACAAATAAACCTTGCTCTACAAGCTTTTTTAACTGTTTTTCATGGCGAACATCGACGAAACACCGCTGTCCGTTATCGACAGCATCACTCCGGAGTCAGCCCGGAGAAGAGATGGCCTTTCCACCATTCCGACAATGGCAGGCCTGGAGACCTTCTATAGAGGGCTACTCAGAGACACGCGAGACAAACACGTAAAGAGAACTGATCATTCTCAAAGTCCTAAGGGGCGTCGACGGCGAGGAGAATCTCATGCTCAGTTCCTAGAGCACAAACTTAGAGACCAGGACGCCCTCATTCGGAAAATGGCGGCGGAGAAGAAGAAGACGTTAAAGTGACAAATCAAATGGAAGGGTGTTGCTGGAGTGGGAAACCATAATGAGCACACATAACCCCGTTGCTTAGGCATCTAGCACCAACGGGAGACACCTTCTCTTTCTGTCACCAAGAGCTACAGCGTTGGCGATTCTGACCCACCGATGGAGAGATCACGCACGCACGACAGCAACTACCGTCCCTCGCGTCCATCAACGACGTCGAGATACTCTTACTCCGCCTGTTCCAAGGACCTGAGGGACGCCTTGGAGGAACGTGCACGTCGCAGGGAGGCCCAAAGAGTGCCGACACTGCAAAGGCTGAGTCCTTGAATCCGTTGCAGTGAGAAGGTGGCCATGCCGCCACCTAGAATGGAGATTCTAGCACCGGTGGACAAAGACTTGGCAAGACTCACCGCCACCCCACTGTCCCCAGAGATTGAAAGCACGCCCCTCCCCGCCGGATTCCATTAACCTAAGTTCACGCTGTACGATAGAAAAACGGATCCGTACATGCACATTAGTCATTACCGGCAAGTAATGGTAGACCATTAGCGCAACGATGCCTTGATATGCCTCATATTCCTAGAAAGTTTAGGAGAGTTCGGCCTGAAGTGGTTCGAAAGTGTGACAACTGCTTCCTTAATTAAGTAAATTAATTATACTAATTGTGTGCTTAGTGTTAATTGTGTGATTATGTGCTAATTGTGAATCATGTGTCATGTGTGATATATGTATATGGTATTGTCATTGTAAACAGATAGGTTAGAGTGAAATTAAACACGTCCAATTCACTAATTTTAACGAGTTAGAATTAAATAATAAGACAGGAATTAGAGCTTAATTCACACTCATAGAATTAAATTTAGTGTAATTGAGATTATATTGTGATAAAGATTAATTTAATTTAATGAGCAATGACTTGTTAGCCTTAGTTGAATTAATTGAAATATTAATCGAAATGTAAAATTGAATACAATAAATGTATACATGTGTACTGCTCACCAATTAGTTGCTTATGTAGTGGGTCTTCTTCAAAATACACGTTGAGAGAGAGTGAGTGAGAATAGGAGAGCTTTGAGCACTTGAACTCAAGAAGAGAAGAAAAGGAAAGGGAAAGAGGAACTTGTGAAACCCTTATAACTACATCTTTTTCTCCACAATTCACTTACTTTAGGTAAGAATTCTCCTCCCTAATCTCATGCAGTTAAATGTATTTGAAGATTTATGCTCATAAGTTAAAGAATTTAAGTGTAAGTAAGAAGAATATAAGTTTAATGGAAAGTTTAGTTCATATTGATACATGCATGGAAAGATTCATAAATATCCATGATCATACATTCATGTTCTTACATACACCTCTAAATTGAAGTGAAAGCGCCATGGGAATTGGGAACTTGAAGCTTAGTATGGCAAGGTTTATGCTTATACATGTCAAATCTTAAAGTAAAATATTCATGACCATAAAAATAAGAACTTAGATGAATTAATTTTTAAACTTACCATGCATGGCATAGTTTTATGTACTTCATGATCCTTCAGTTTGTTCGTTTGCATGTTCCTCCAAAACAAAAAGGAATTCTATGAGAATTAAGGATTATAGCTCAACTTGTATGTTTAATGAACATAAATTGTAAATTCAAAATTCATTGCTTGGACTTTGGGTTTTAAATTAATCTTTGATTTCAAACGAAGTAAGAGATTGTTTATTTACCATGTTTGTGAAAGTTTTGAGTCTTGAATTGTGCAAAAATGAAGTTAGTATTTGAAAGAAAAGGGACCCAAAAACATAGCAATTTTCGGACTGTTTTTGTAGCACTGCTGCACGTGCGGCTTGGGGCCCCGCACGTGCGGAAAACAGGGTAGAGTGGAGCTTGCATACTGAAATATATGCACCTGCGGAACAGGTGCGGTGGTGGTCACCGCACGTGCGGTTAGGACCCCCACACGTGCGGCCATTTTGGGTAGACGCGGTTTCGTTTCCGCTCTTCTTTTCCACCTTCCAAGTTTCTATTTACATCGTTTAAATGTTTTTCATATGCATTACATTCATGTACATTTTGTTTAGACTTGAAACAAAATAAAGAATAGAATGAAAACCGAACAAGAGAAAACAAATAGAGATCGAGTAATCGAATTGTGTAGTAGTGTAAGAATATGATTGTAATTGTGTTACGCTTGACTTTATTTGTTTAGGTCGGACGCCGAACCATTAGTACGTATATCGAGAAGCCCACTATGAGTAACACTGTTTGTAAAGATATGTTCAATTGTATTTATTTTTCTGAATATTAAATTATTTTATTTTCAAACTGTTACTTTATTAAATGATGATCCTCTTTTTGAGCTGTATTCGTAGCATCCATAGTATATTGTTATCGTTATTGATATTGTTATTGTTATTGATACCGAGATCTCTATTAGTTTCAAATCTTGGAACTATTGTCTATTGTTTGATGGCCATCAATTGATTGTTCGGTCTTTCAGACCTATTGTATTATTGCTATCAGATGTACCACATATGACCTGTACGAATATGATTGGTTGAATTGAACGATTAAACAATTGATTAACAAAAAGATATGGATTCAAAATGTTCTATTGATAATTGATTGTTTCAAATGCCATAAGGACATCATGCTTAACCTCTTTACATAGTTATTATGCACTGGGCTCGAGCTCACGGTTTATTATATATATATAGGTGATCGAGCACCGGACCAGGGCTAGTGGCGTCAACCTGAACTCTATTTTGTCAAGCCAACTGTTGTGCCTAAGGTTGTGCATAATACCGCCATAACTACCAAAATCGCACTAAATCGCTCCGAACCGCACCGAACCGCGCAAAATTTTAACTCTGCCGGGTGGGTTGAGCGGGTAGGAGGTCCAACACTGGCGGGTCGACGCGTGTGGCTGGTGGAATTTCCCAACCTGCAAGTCTAACTGACCAGA